CAACCGGGAATCTGGTTAACGATTAACCGACTGAAATTCGGTGCCGGTAATCGGTAGCCACCTATCATAATTCGGTATATACCGATAACCAGTTAATCGGTTACCGGTTAACCAGTAACCAACCGATTACCAGCCCTACTCAATGCCATGTGCCTAAAAATATAGGAAGATCTTATTTCGTATTGGACGGTTTTACTTTTTAAATGATGTTTTTTTAATTTGCATATATACTCGTGTCATTTGTGAAAGGGTATATTAGGTTGGCTTGTGGTTTTTGGTTTTCATAACCCTAGTTGAAAACACTCCTTCAGCAGACTAGTGGAACTTCGTCATGAGAGCTGTGCTCTCTGTGAAATAGTCCTTGTTTCCGGGGATACTATGTAAATCATTGTGTCCTTTTATTTTCTTCATTCCAAGATTCAAAGTTTGTTGCTTGACTCGTCATGGATAAGGAAGAGGCTTATGGCAGCGGAAAATTAGTTGCTCATTTGGCCGACGAGGTAATTCAGCTCAACTCCCCTCTCTATCTTCATCCCTAGGAGAATCATGCTCAGTTATTTGGCAACGATTTGTTAAACTATTTGAACTTTGGTGAATGGTTCAGTGATCTTACCGAGACCCTAATAGCTAACAACAAGCTGGCCTTCGTGAACGATACACTACCTCGCACCAAAGATAGATCCACTCGTTATCAAAAAGCTTGGAATCAATGTGATTCTACTATCAAGACCTCCATGACTCGTGAGGTTCGGAACAACGAAATCAGCGCAACGTGCATATAAGTTGCACCCGCATGCTCGTTTCCTACTATAGGATAAACTCTCTGCCTCAACCTTTTACACAAAGCTTCTTCCACTTTGGGATGAGATGGATGCTATTAGTGGAATGCTACAATTTACTTGTTGGGAGAGCTCTTGCAGCGGCTGCAACTGCAATAATTCTTGCCAGTATCATGTGAAATGGAGTTTGAACGATTATTTAGAGGCTACCATCATGGTGAAGAGAGGATAGGGTTGAGTGTATGAGTATGCACATCTTTTGCATCAAAATGGTCCTAACCCCACTGGTCGAGAGTGAGCAATTCTTTCTTCATATTGTCATGTACCCTAGTGAGGACCTAGATTGCTCGGTTGGTTGTTCTGATGACTTGATCTTTATGCATAGATGACTTTGATTGGTGAGTCGTCGGGTCAGGTTATCTATTGGTCTGAGAATAAGGTAAGAACTCTTCCTTTACACGGTTATATTGCATTCAAATGTCCTTTGTGGTGCTTGTCAGGTTGTTATTGCTGTTGTCCATATGTTGGTGCCCAATATACATTGTGATTCATTTGCTTTGTGCACTATGACATGCCCCCAAAGTTTTCAAGAAAGAAGCTTACCTTGTGTCGTACTTGGTTTGCTTGGGGACAAGAAAACGTTCAGGGGGGGGGGGAGTTTGATTCGGACATAATTACAATAGTGCATCTCTCGTGCTGTGCAAACTTCATGGTCTAAGACGTTGAAAATCACCCCGTATCGTGAAAATTGCCCAAAATAGTGAGTTTTCAGCTGAGATCATTGTTTGCTTGCTAAAATCATGATCGTGAACAGTGACTGTGAAGTATGCACTGTTAGGCATATAAAAAGGCAGCAGATGGGAGAATAGGGGGTTCTTGTATCTAGATTAGTTTCTTAATCACGATTCTAGGTTGGCTAGATAACGAAACCTTAAGTCGAAGTAAGGTACACCTATGAAAACTTGTTACATATAACTTCCACTTATATAAGAATCTTCAGTGGAAGAAAACAACAGCCATCCAATAAGGGAGAACACTAGTTATAACAGAGCAAATCAACTGTAGGCGCCCAACATAACTCAGATAGCGAGCTTGCCATCTACGGATACACACATTGATCTTGTTAACTAAAATTTGGCAATCCAGAGCACTTAGCTTCCTTATCAACAACGGAACGCTCAAATACTTAACTGGCAATGCTCCAAGAGGTAGTCTAGTAGTGCGGGAGATAAACTCCTTTTCCCCATACGAGATCCTAGCACAAAATAGATGACACTTGGCCTATTGCATTGTAGCATAAAGACACTGTAAAATCTATCAAGCAAATGACAGATACGAGCAACAACTCTCACTGACCCATTAGAGAACACTAGTAGGTCATCAGCAAAGCACAAGTGGGGAATATCATGTGCTTTGCGTCCAGGGTGATAAGGAATTTGATCTTCTAACACATCCTGAGCTAAAGAAAAAATCTATGTTGCAACTGTAAAAAGGTAAGGAGACAAAGGGTCTCCTTGTCTTAAATCTTTTCTAGCAGCGAAGAACACACATAAACCACCATTAAATGATACACTTAACATCGGGGTGGTAACATAGGCTTCAACTAGTTTAATAAACTCAAGAGGAAACCCCATAGCTTGTAGAACCTTAAATAAAAAATTCCAATCAATAGAATCAAAAGCTTTTTTAAGGTCTATTTTCACTACACATCTAGGGGTAATAGATTGTTTATGATAGTCTTTTACTAGCTCAAAGGCCATAAGGATATTCTTACTAATGGATTGGCTTAGGAAACTCATTAAGACATGGTAGATTAACCAAAAACCTATCTAACCGTCTAGCAATTGGATTGGCTTCTTGCTTATTCCACCATGTAAACCACGATCCAAGAACCTTATGATCAAAAAGTCCTATATTCCCAAGCCACTAGCTAAAATCCAAAGTATGTTGATTGATAACATCAGTATTAGAAGCCTCTGATGCTTCAACAATAGCATTTCAATCACCCATAGTGATACGTGGTCATCATAAATTAAACCATTCAGTAACTCACCATACGTTACTTGCCGCTCTTGCACTTTGTTAGGACCATAGATTGTTGTAATTACACAGCCTCCTACATCAGAAACCCCGATGAATGAAATGTTCACCTGCTAACACGCTAATAACTTGCAACCTAGGCTTATACAGGAACCAAAGCCTTCTAGAAGAAGAATGAGAGTAGTTATCTACATCTAACCATTGACTAAAATACTCCCAAAGTATATCAAGAGCATTTTTAGCAATAACCCATCTCCCCAGAATAGCAAATATATCTATATTATGTTTATGTAACTGTCTACTAATATATCTATGCTTCTTAGGGAAATTAAAACTCCAGAGATTCCAACACAGAAGTTTCATTTACCAAGACGTTTACCCCTCCCTTTCCTTGGAGGAGAAGAAGGAATAACCAAAGCTTGACCTCGAGCATTGAGGTGAACCCTTGTTGTAAGAGCTGATGGAGGAATATGAAGCTCATTGTGCCCTTTTTATCTTGTTTGCGTGCCTTTACGACCGACCAATTGAAATCCAACTTCATCTATAACCCCTTTACCCCGAGCTTCGGATGAAGACGTCACTAGAGATCCAGAGTTGGCAGGGGTCTGCACTGTTGGTTGTGTGATAACGTGTGAACTTGCTTCCTCCACCTCCTCCGCCGGCTCCTTAGGAGCCCAAAAGTGCATCAGTATCTATAGATTCTGTAGTAACAAGCTCGCGCTAATTCAACACTTCAAACCTACATTATGTACCTTCACCAATTTTATGGCCAAAAACACCACATTGAGCACAACAATGAGGAAATTTTAAGTAGTCCAAAAAATTGTCATAGCCTCTCCACCTTTTGGCCTAATACAAAAATCAACGAGAAGGAAGAGGCAACCACAGAGCCGCCATCTGAATGCATAACTTTGCTACACCAATATGAGAACCCAACCTTGTGGCTTGATCCGTCCAAAGAGGAGTTCCAAGAACTCTGGCAACCCTACTCAGACCTTCCACCGTAAAGTATTCGAGAGGTAGACCACGAATTCGAACCCAAATTAATCGCCAGAGGCTGAATATCAGGGTCCATTTCCTCACAAATACAGGTTATTTTCATAGTGCCATCGACCATTCTTAAAAACCAAAGTTTAGGAATCACTATCTGGAAGCTAGAACATATAGAGGTTCTCGCCTAGTGAAGAGACATAAACCTGGTCTTCGCACCCCCAGAAACGCTGAGACCAGCGCTGGATTTTGAAGATACTCGGTGGTTTCTCCAGGAATTGACCCACGAGTGCTTTCCCGCCATCGGGCAACACCTTCCTCTCAAACACCATGCAGAATAACCAATTCTCCATCTATCAGAGTTGGAGGAACATAGTGCAATCGATTCCCCTCGTCAACTCCAAAAAGCTAAGCCCAGTTCGCCTGCGGGGGATTGGCCGGAGTGGCCATTCCCACCGGCCGCCGTGACAATTAGGGTTTCGTTGTTCAAGAGAGAGAAAGAAGAGATGAGTCAGAGGAAATTTATTTTGAATTTTGATTTGTTAAAGTTTTTTAATTTAAGACGACAACTAGTAAAAATAAATGATTGAAAAACTATATCTAAGGTCATGTCAGATTAGTCCATGATATGAAATTTTGTGGTACGACCGTGGTTCAATACTTGTTTTAATAAAGTAATATATTTTTGTTAAAATACTATACTGACAAAAATATGATATTATACTAATATTAATGAGTCAAATACTAACAAACTAAAATGAGAAAACATAGAGGAAAATCTACAACTTCATCGGTTAATTTTAAAACAAATTCTATCTAAACTAAATTGCAAAGTGCTTGTCGGGCATCACCGTGACCAATCCAAGTCATTCTCACAGAGAGAGCTTATTCGGCCACAATGACAATTAAAGAAATAAGTAAATCCAACTGTAAGAGTTTATGTTGATAAAAATGAAATTACCGTAACAGAGTGAATGTTGCAAATTAGGGTTGTGTTGGAGAGGAGGGTTCTGCCCCATTTCTTCTACTTTTTTTCCCACCAACTTTTTCTCAAAATAAGGTTGTTTTGACGATGTGGAATTTATTTTTTTTAATTTCAAGCTGTTCAGTATGATTAAAACAGGCATGAATACTGTGGTTCATGGATTCAACTTCTAAATCTTAGTCGGATTTTCATTTTTGCCATTACGACTTATATATACCGTTCCGAATTTGTTTTAAAATTGGAGTGGCCATTCTTACGGTTCAATTATCGGTTTTTTTTCTCGTAGGTTACATATAACAATTCCAATTCCAAAGAATGCCAATTCACCAATTGGCGGAACTTTCGAGCGTATCTTGATGTCCCCAAAATTTCAAGAGGGCTGCCGATCTCCCCAGAGGTTATCTCCGATCCCCTAATCATCTCCTATAATTATAATTCAGTTGTGGGCGATGGCACGATTCTCGGCTGAAGACGACGAAGGACCGAGCAACCGACTCCGTAAACGACTCCGGACAAGCACCACCTCCGCCTCTCCGAATCCCCTTCCTGAAACCATGACGAGCTCGACCGGCGACGACGAGGAAGCTGTGATACTTAGTGGCGATGAGAATGAAGAAGAGGAAGCGGAAGAGTTTGCTGTGGATCTCGATTTAGAAGTGGCGGAAGACGAGGACGACGATGTGGAGTGGGATGCGGAGGGCGAGGAAGAAGAGATAGAGGAAGAAGAAGAGGAGGATGGCGATGACGACGAGGTTGATGACGATGAAGACGATCACGACCAAGCAGAGCAGCCGGGCCGACATAGGGAGAGTGCGGAGAGTAGCAGAAACGGTTCCGTCTCTGTAACCCTAACTGATCCTGAAGTGCTCGACTGCTCCGTCTGCTTCGATACCCTGACTATTCCTGTCTACCAGGTCTTGTTCTCTGCACCTCATTGCTTCGATTCCGACCCCCTATGGTAAAATGTGCTAGGGTTGAAAGCTTTGCTTGTCCCTTTGATGGCGTTGATTTGGTAGCAGCTAACTTGTGGCAGTCTTTCCGCTGGTTTTGAAAGTTTAGATTTCTTCTATGGTCTATCTTGCTTTGTGTAATCCATTTCTGGTGTTTCCGGTCTTCGCCCGTAGTCTTGCATTTGAAATTTAACCACAGGATACTCAAAGAGCTGATAGGTAGAGGAAAAGTCGTTTGTAGCTGTGATTGCTAATTGCTGCTGGAGCAAGTTCCAGCTAGTCAATTGAGTTTTGGATTATCCTAGTTTAAGTTGCGCCTTGTTTAACCTAGAACATTTATTGATGCGATTATCGGCTGTAAGTAGAAATAGTCATTCTTTCTTGCTGCTTGGGGCTTGAATTTTTGTTCCTCAAATGTTGTAATGTTTTCTGCACATGTTTTGATCGTTTCTACTGGAGTTTCATGGAAACAGGAACACGGAACATATGATGGCATATAACATTTTAGTGCAGTTGTTAGATATAGAACTACAATATTTTCTGCACCTATCCTACTATCTTAGTGTCTTATGTTTGCTAATTCACATATTTTGCCGGATATTCATGAATAGATTTGATCTGCCTATTGCTTGTAGCATAGTTTCTTGTTGGAAGGACTACTTAAATCTACCATATCATAGTCTTTGGGGAGGCTTATTCTGATAGATTCAGGAGTTCGACCGCCCTATGAAAGGCTGGTGCTCATGAGATATATGATTTCGGAAGAAGTTATTGTTTTCCCCTCATGCGCTGAATGTCTTTAAAACTGTTGGTTTGCTTTCGAAATGTTGGAATAGTGACCAAGAGGTTTTAAAGCATAACTAGTAATTCTATGTTAGAACCAAGTTCTGACATAGAAACATAACTAATGAGGAACACCTGCTTTCTGAATTAGACTTGTTTTCCCTTATGGCTTGGTTATTGGGAACTTAGACCTTTTAAATGACTTACAAGTTAGGATGGAGAGTCTTTATCTTTATCTCGAATCCACCCGTGATTATCAACTATTTCTGAAATGAAGCTTTCATGGACATCAGGACTTAGCATATTTGAATTTCCTCTACATTTCTAGGAACTTACCATCCATCCTGGGCAATATCTAACAATCAAAATTCTTGCTATTAATTTGCTTTCTCTATCTCTCAGCCGGTAGTATTTGGATTGGAATGTAGTTGTGTTTACTGTCCCATGTTCCAAAAAGTAAATGATGGAACTGTTGGCTTCTAGTCTCCTGTGCTGTACATCTGCTTCATAGATTTTCAAGGTAGTCTTAGATAACCATGTTTAATTGGTACTGCTGGACATCTGATTCACAGATTTTTTCTAGTATATAGCCATTGTTGATAACCATGCTACTATACATGGCACTATCTATCTTTTCTTCTGATTCTCCCACCCTTTCTGCTTATGTTGTTGACAGTGTGAGAATGGACACACAGCTTGCAGTCCCTGCTGCACCAAAATGGCATACAAGTGTCCTTCGTGCTGTCTGCCTATCGGCTACAATCGCTGCAGGGCCATCGAGAAGGTTCTCGAATCCGCCTCTGTACCATGCCTGAATTCTGTTTACGGGTGCCGAGAGGTAGTTACCTACAGCAAGAAACAGGCTCACGACAAGGCTTGCGTCTATGCGCCGTGTCTGTGTCCTCTATCCGGGTGCAACTTCTCCGACTCGGTCAAGCAGCTGTGCGAACATTTTCGTTCTACACACAAGAACCACACTGTTCGGTTCAAGTACGACACTGTCTTCCCGGCGTTCTTCACCAGTGATCATAAGCTCCTTGTTCTTCAAGAGGAGACAGAAGGGGTTCTGTTTCTGCTGACCAACAGTGTGGGGAACGTGGGGAACATAATCAAGGTTAGCTGTATGGGTCCAGCTTCGTACAAAGGAAGGTTCTTCTACGAGGTAAGTGCTAAGACGGAAGATAGCAGTGTCAAGTTTCAGTCGTTTGCAGAGAATGTACTGAAGAAGGGGAACGAAGCTCCAACTGCTACTGGGGGGTTTCTTTTGGTTCCAGCTAGTTTCTTCGGAAGGTACAAACAGATTAGTATTGATGTCTGCATTTATAATGTCGGCACATATCCTAGCGACTTCATGGGTAACGGAACTGCCTGATGCGGGCTTTCTGCATCATCAATCTTCTCATTAGCTCATCGTCGACTACTTATTTGTTTCACTCCTCGGTTATTGTAGATTGTGTTGGCCTGGCTTCTTAACTGAGTAAAGATGGAAATGGTTACCTTGCCCTATGTGATATATAGCTTGCTTGCTATGTCATTTATTTTGAGCGACTTTCTATTATGTCTTTGATTGCACAATAGCTTCGCTCTTTGATCTGATATTTGGCAGTAGGTGTTTGCTTTGGTAAGGGGATTGGTTATGTGAACTTTCCAGTTTCCACCCACTTCCCCCATCTTCTCCCTCATCGAACTAGCATCACGTAGGCGTGCTCTCTTTTCCATTTTCTTTCTGTTTGTTTTCGTGTTGTACGTGTTACCCTAACGGAGGGGCGAGGGCTATTTCTAATCAAGTTAGATGGCTATTCCTAACCAACTTGGTTATGATGCTCACTATGAGGAAAAATTCCCAGAATGGCCAAGTTAAAAAAAAAAAAAATTATCACTGCACAGCATTTAAAAAATAATGTCGAAAATGCATAAGTTTCTCATAGTTTGTTGCATAGTTACACGAATCACTAAGCAGTTCGCTTGCGATCGGATCGAACATTGTTGGAAACAATGCAGTCAAAAGTGCGATTCTACCTAGAAGCGAAAAATGGGTAAAATCGTAAACCGTAGAATCAAAGCGTAACAACGTAAGTTTTTGACGCATACGGTAAAATAACAAAAAATGTGTTAAGTACGACATATACTATGTAAAATATGAGTGCACATAGTTTAGATAAGTTAATAAATACCTATAATTCATGTCTAAACTCATAACATTTTAACAATAAGTTCATAAACATATATCTTAACCATAAGCTACATTCCCCTCCAAGCTAGTGATTTTGGGAAGCGCCTAGTTGGTGAATTAGATTACTCTGTTGAAACTAAGAATGCACCCAAGTACTTGATATGTATCTTTTAATCTTAAATATATCATTTTTTTGTGATTTACCTGTAAAATATAAGTATTTTCGTGAATAGAATACTCCTTTAGTGAACTAGAAGCGTAAAAGCGTAAAGCGTTTTGGTGAACCAGAAGCGTAAAAGCGTAAGCTTTTAAGCTTTAAAGTGCATTTCAGTCCCGATTTTATACACTTAAGATTTTATATGGAAACGGAAGCGTTTTAGTGTTCTAGAAGCGTAAAACCGTAAGTTTTTAAGTTTTAAAGCGCGATTTTGACTGCATTGGTTGGAAATAGCGGACTCAATGGTTCGCGGGTCTAGGGAGCAACTAGAGTGGTCCACGGGTTGGCGGAGCGAACAACTTGGTTCGCTAAAACAGTATGCAAACTGTTGTGATTCGCTGTCTAGGAAAGCGAACGACTCTGAATAAACCTTTCTGTTGACATATTTGTACGTAGTTCGCTTTCAATTTAAGCGAACCACTTGGTTCGCTGTCAAGTGCAGCGGCCAATTCCAATAATTTCGTTAAGTCACTTTATCCCAACATGCCTCCGGACAGGACGCATGGATAGGGTTTCCTAGTTGGAGTAGATCACTAGGATGGGCAGCAAACTACTCATCAGTCAATGAAAAAATAAATACTTAGCCACCTTTCAGCTCATTCCTCTCTTCATTCTGCAAAAAATAAAGGGTAAATAATTATTAGTCTAATATTTTTCGCATTCTTTTATATTAGTCAAACCTATTGAATTACTAATAATTAGAAAAATGTTAACTTTCAATTAGCAATTTTGTTAGTAATATTGATTTGACAACATAATATTGACGTGGAAGAGACACATGGAGGTCAACATTCCAAAAATTTAGTATTTTAACTAAGCAAAGAGTTACAGAATTATTAATGATAACAGAAACTGGCTAATATTTAAATGTATCATAAAACATTTGGCTAATAATTATTAATTCAATAGGTTTAACTAATACAAAATATGCGAAAAAGGTGTGGCTAACAATTTGTATTTACCCAAATACAAACAACAAAAAGAAGCAGAAAGAGCAAGAAATTTTCAGCAAAGAAAAAGGAGGTTCATTGAGCTTCTGTCATTGGAAGGTAAATTTGTTTATGTTGGTTGTAACATGGGTTACATTATGTTATTTTTAAGATATGTACGATTGATTAGTTGAGCTTCTGTGATTTTAACGTTTTTTGTGTGGTTGTAACATGAGTTATATTAGCTTTTTTATAATAACCTGGGGTGTTATATTAGCTTTTCAATGTAGGTTTAATAGGGATTATAATTTTGGATTAATATTTGGCTGTTTATTCATATTTAGGCTTTGAATTGTATATAATTCTTAGTAATTGTAGAATACAAAAATGAGAAGGAATTTCAAAAGTTCCGACCTATTGATTTGGTGGAATAGTCGAGTGATAAGATTTCAGAATAGTGCTGATTATTAAGGTGGTGAGGCAAGCACTGTCCGGATTGAAAGCATTTAGTTGGCAAAATCTCTTCCACATTTTGTGAGAAAAGGTGTTGCATAGGTGGTAATCGAAAAGTATGCAAAATGGCTTATCGGATGCTGATTTACGATGGATATGCAATGGTGTATGAAGAATCAATGATGTCTGATGATGATGGAATTAATATGATGTTGGATTTCATAGCAGAGAACAAATTTCAAGTTGTTGAGGTGTACATCGAGACGAAAGAGGTGGGCGAGTATGGTGGTGGTGGTAATGCGGAACACATTGAAGGTTCTAGTGGAGTTTATGGTTTGGGTGGCTATGGAGGTTCAGATCGCGTACGTACCATGGCTAAGATATGAAACTTGTGTTTCACTTGGTCTAATGGTTGAATCTGATGGACAAGAATGACTAGTATGGGGTGAAGAATGAGCCAACATAGAAGAATCCACACAAGAATCGATTAGGTATGATGATCATTGTGGTGATAAGTAAACTAACATGTGAGGAAGCTAACGTGGAAGATTTGACATTAGTGAGTATTGAAGATGAGGATGTCGATGAGGGGGTATTCGAGCCTCCCACACCTCACTACACGATGGTGCCACAACATCCTATCTATGCTCACAACAACAATCTAGACTGCCCTCCTATACCCATTTGGAATCCTAATGTAGAGTTTCATAGTTGGACACACATTTGGAGGAAAGGCAATGTTATGGATGCGTTGAAATAATATGCAATGCAGAAGAGCTTCCAATATCATGTTTACAAATCGGACGCTAAACAAATTCATGTCCGCTGCGAGAACTATATATGGAGACGACTGCATGTGTTAAGTTTGGGTTGCATATGTGGTGAGGCATGGGGCTTGGCTTATGCACAAGGTAGAGAACATCCATACACGTAGTTCGTCAATTCTTTCTCTTGATCATAAGCAGTTGAATGCAGGAAAAGTTGCACAAACGATCAAGCATCTGGTTGAGGCTTGAGACACAACCTGGGATCACAGTAAAGGCTGTCATACCAGAAGTGAAGAATCATCATGGCTACACCATTAGGTACAAGAAAGCATGACATGAAAAGCAGAAAGAAATCGCAGAGGTGTACAATGATTGGTCGTCTCGTATGCTTCCCTGCCTCGATTGGTACTAGCATTGTTGACAAAAATCCGGATAGTGTTTTTGTGCCCCAATACCAAGATTGTGCAGCAGGGGACAAACATGTATTGAGCGACTGTTTTGGACATTCACACCATGCATGCATTGATGGTTTCGAACACGGTGTGCTGGTAATTCAAGAAGATGATACCTTTCTAACGAGGTATACAAGGGAACTCAACTCATCACCACGATTGTTGATGGCAATAAACAAGTCTTTCCACTTGCATTTGATGAAGTTGAATCGGAGAACACCGACAGTTGGTCATGGTTTTTCTTCCACTATACACTCGTATCACTCAACAGAAGGACATTGTCATCCTTTCTGATCGTCACAGTGACATGGCGTATGCAATGTACGATTTTCCTGAGGAGCATGGATGGAAGTTAAGGTCGTAAGTTTGGCTGCACATTGGGCCAATGTGAGGTTTGGCAAGCCGGTAAGTACAATTTAGGGTTCTTCAATGCACTTCTGACTCACTCCTACTGTCACTCTAGAAAATGGCCAAGTATAACCACTTCCTAAAGCGTAGTATAGCGGGTTTGGGTTTTATTGTCAACCCGGGTCCTAGATTTGATGACTACTCGGTGAATTCTTGTTATCTAGCAGTGAACTTTTAGTGCAGGTTCAAACAAACAAAAACGCAAAGCAATTTAAACGGTTGTTCAAGTCAAGAGAGGTCACCCGGATATGGTTCCCCCTAGACTGCAGTTAAGCCGGATTGCAATTTACCAAATTCAGTTTTCATGAAAGTTATACTGCGAAAGGTTCTTAAACAGTCTGAAGTCTCGACTAAAGGTCTCCAGACCCTCTCAATCTGAGTCTCTAGCGGGCGACTAACCTCCACCGGAGTAAACAGATTGAGGCCCTAACGAACCAAACCTCCACTACCGAATTGAATTCGGTACAGAATAGCGAATTGGCTCCTCGACTAAAGTCACCAATTCACTACCTTCGATTAAGGATACTCTATCAACCTAGGCAGTTATTCTCATTCTAGGTCAAAGCAGAAACAACAAGAATTTGATCAGGATTCAAGTCATTCAAACCTCAATCGAATATAATCAATTCATAAACTCTGTACTTGGGTTCATACAATCAGACCTAGCATACAAATCTAGGGTTCTCCATACCCAGATGAATGGGGAAACTACTCCATAGAGAAAGAAGCAAAAGCAAATTCAGACGCGGAAATCATACTGTGAAGATGGATTTCTGCTCCTGGACGTTAATCGGCACTTCTCCAAGCTCAAGCCGGGCTCCAATGGTGATGAAGATCAAACTTTAGCACTTGGGAACTCTGGTTCGTCGCTTTCTCTCTCTAGGAATCGCTCTGTCTCTCTCAAACTCGGAACCCTCGAATGTTGGCCTTCCTTTCCCTTAAATCGGCTGCCTGGTCGCGATACCCGGTCGAAATACCCGGTCGGGTATTTTGGGTATCGACCGGGTATTATTCAAAACGCACGTATCAGAAGAGGAAAAATCCCCGGTCTGCCTCAATAATCCCCGACCGGGGATTTTGCCTTCACGCCCGGGTCCCTCTCTGATTCTCGGGGGCGCCCAAAGTAATAATACCCGGCCGGGTATTCTTGGTCATGGCCGGGTATTTTCCTCCAGCAGCCCCCTTCGTCCCAACTTTGCTCCTTTCGACCCAGAACTCGTTTCTCCGCCTCGATTCCAACGTCGGGTCCTGAAATATGACAT